TTCCTCCTGTCTAGCCTCCCTATTGCTGGGAATATAGGTCTACTTGACCAAGCCCAATTCAGTCATGCCTGTTTTAAAGAGACCATCCTTAAGTAGCTATCCAACAACATACAAAGAAAGATGTGCTCATTTAAATAATGACATGTCTTGCCAAGTGTGTTATAAACCCCAGTGTCTTCTCTGCCTGGACATCAAATAAGCCAGGGTTGGAATCTACAAACAACTGTGAAGCCCAGAGCAGGAAAAAGCAGCAATGAGCAAATTGCTGGGCCTGACAGCAGCACTCCCTGCAGGTATAGTAGCCATAGTTTTGAGACTGAATTTAACTGGAACCAGAAATACATTTATGAAAAAGACAATTGAATTATCAAAAGCAAAAATTGAGTGAGAAAATGAGAAACATGATAAGGGTACAGAAAAGTGTCCTACTGTCTTCAAGCAGAAAGTGTAGGGTAATCTAGGATGTTGAAACCAAACTAAATGAAAATCTAGAGGACTGGCCCATGCCACAAAATCTGGCCTACCTTCTGACTTTTTGTAAAACAACCTTTTTTGAGAAATAACTACATACATTAACTTAGCTACTGTCTACGGTTTCTTTTAAACAAAGCAAAATAAGTGATAACAGAAATCATCTGACCCAGAAACTTGAAGAGATTTATTATCTGTCCCATAACAAAAAGTGAGCACCAATTCCTGCCTTAGATGACTAAAAAGTTGAGCTTCAGGGCCTGGGAGGGTGACTATGCCCTTGCAGAACCAAAACAGCTGATGCTTGACCCTTTCTGGGAAGCTTAGAACAGGGTGAGATGAGGAATGAGAGGCGTCTGGGGGCAGACCCTGGGCGTTAGAGACGCGCAGGCCTGAGAAGACAGTGATGTGTCGGCCTCGCACTTGTTTCATCTGTGATTAGAAGCCAGCTACACACTCTGTGTCTACAAAATGGGAGCTTCAAGAAAACTGAGATTCCTGTGTCTAGTTTGGAAAAGCTATTCAGTAACGTCAGTGTTCCTATCTAAATTCTACATTCTGGGAAGCTAGCAGTTTCACTAGAAGGA